GTTAATGAATAGCACAAATGTTTCGATTTGATTTAATTTGAACTTTTAAGTTAATTAAAAATATCTTTACTTGCAATCAATGAAACAGATGGCAAAACTTATTAAATGAACAGTGTAAAAGTTGTCTGCTTTCTTCACGGATCCTTTTTTGATGCAGTTTAAAAACAGTGACACAAAGGTTGCATAAATTTCAGCGAAATGGAATAGAATAACTGCAAAATAGCAGACATCCCTTTCAGAAATTCTGACGAATAATATTATGTTTAATATTAATGACCCATATCCTTATGAGACTTTCTATAATGCATAAAACATAAGCTTTTATGTTCCCTTTATGAAAGTCACAAAGAAAATAAACGTATTTATGCGGACGATTTGAACAAGTCATATCGTCATCAATGCAAGAAAGTTTAGATCCTTCGCTCTAAATAAAACACCCCAATTTCCCACTAGCAAGAATGCAGCAACTACTGTTTAATATGCAAAGTTGATAATACGTTCTTGAGGTGGTAAATGGACGTATGTATTTCATTGTTTAGATATGTTGAATAAACAGAACCTGTATTTCAGCATAGAAGAGGAAACACATGAGTATACCTTAAGCAGCTGTTTAGTTATTTTTCAGCGAAGTACGACGTCGATCATTCTGAGGCAGGAATAACTTATTTATGCATCACTTCAGTACGACAGTCTATACTCGCTCTCTTTTGACCTCGTAAAGGGACGTTGGAATATACACAGCAACAGGCTCAGATGAAGTGAATGGTTGTTACTGGAGAGATTATTGGTGCCGCAATACAGGCATGCTTTCACGAGGGGTTGTTCATGTTCTTTGACCAAAACTTCGCCATCGAAGTAGTCATTGTCTGGTACTGCCAGCAGGGTTTAAAATTCGATTTTGAAACCTCGTGGAAATAAGATTTAGGGCGCAGGGGTGAAATGGATACATGCTCAATTTGATGAAAAGATAGGGAGTGGACGTTGGAGATGTAGCATGTTCCCGTTAGGACAAATCTTCGAAAAGAACAACCCAAAGATGTTTTTAAAGTTTACTTGTTCAATTTCGTCATAATTTATTTAGGAAATAACATCATACAGGTACAAAAGCTGAGGACCTTTTCTATTCATAAGTAAATGACACTTCGCCTAACACCTTTTAGGATTAAGCGTGCAAAGACAAATTGAACGACGCTGGACGGATTGTTTTGAATAGCGAAAACTGAATATTCGTTTAACTTTGAAACGTTGACAGCTGTAGTGATTATCAAGTTATCTGCGTATTTGAAAATGTGCTATGGAAAGACGTGCTTTAAATCGTTATCGTAGAACATGTAAGGAAGAGGCGATGATGCGGCGCCTTGAAGCATACTAAAATTTTCCTTTTGAGAGCGTGCATATAAGACGCAGACAAATTGTTTTCCATTGGGAAAGAAATCAACGACATTTGAATCGAAATTTCGGTCTGTCTGTTTTCCTAGATCTTCTTCAGATAGGTCTGGATGATTGTTTTTTTAATTAGAACTGATGTTGTTTCTTCTACGTCATAGCCACATGCTACCTATGGTTATTATCTGATCTTACTATAAATTCTTTATGTATACCTAATTATGCTCAGCAGGTCTTTGAGATACGAGCGGAACATGAGACACATGTTTCTTACGTTAATGTGTTTTACCTGTTTGATGTTTCTTAAAGCATTTTAATTTATTCAGACGTGCAGCCATTATCGCCACAAATATTCTTTTTCATCTTCAGGTTCCCAGTTTTATTCATAATTCTTTAATTCCCAGAAAAAATTATCGTAGCGGGAGTATTCGCTGGAGAAAAGGACGTAACCCAAACCCTTATTAGCTGTCTTACGATCTGGAAACAAATGACCTGAACAAAAATTGACTCCTGCTCTTCGTCATGCTTTGGCGTTTGTTAAAGAGTCTATGGGAACCAGAGGATTGAAGCTTTCTCTAGTCGCTTCATAGTAATTTTCAGCAGTGTTAGTGTGCTCTTTGCTGTCTCTCATCAAGAATATGCCTTGCCTGTCGAGTTTAAGTTTCTGGGGGTTTCAACTGTCTTCCGTCATTTATGTGTACTCATTGGAATATTAACCTGAGCTGGTCTTCAAGAGCAATGAATCTTTGAGCTTCAGAATCTCTGAATGCTTCTGCCCTTCGTACGCAAAGGTTTTAACATTGCGTGAATATGAGCACGCGCCACACGTTTTTATACGCATAAATTGCACGATTAATTGCATCTCTCAGCCACTCCATAACTTTCCCTACTGAACCTCACCGGCGATCGACCACACCCGATGCCATCATGTCACGAGTTGCTGTTTCCGAGATGGCAAAGCAGAAAACTGTCAACGTACGAACTGTCGTTTGACATCTACTGTTCACAGAACTGCCGGAAACTGGTTCAATGGTGACGCTGGATCTTTGTCTTTTTTGCCGTCATCACCTGACCATCAGGTATAAAGGCAATAATGGCTTTGTTTTCTTCGGTCAGACGTGATAATCAATCAGTAACACCGTTATCCGTCGGCGATGTCGCATCCTGTACGGTGGCGATAGCCGAAGAAGGCGATATGACGATCGGATGGCAGGCGAAATTCATACTGCCATGATTGGTCGCCGGAATGCGTCGTTCACATCCGATCAATCGTTTCGTACGCCTGCTGTTCACCAACTCCCCGTCACGCATGTTCTGCGATGCCGATTGCCGTCCTCGCCTCCACCTCTCAAAGAACCTCGCCAAACAGGTCGAAATTCATCGTCTGTTCAGGACTGTACCTTCGTCGTCGGGAATGTTCGTGTTGACCACGTTTTGTGCCCTGCTGCTTTTCGCCAACTGTCAGGCCCTTTGGAAGGTCTGCTACAAGGACAAGAACTACTGCGGTAATCGTTCTCTCGTCTCTGTTAACAGGGTTTCGAGCGCGGTCGTTTTTTCCTTGCCATTGCGGAGTAAACTGCCTTTCTAAAGCGGTGATGGCAAACAGCAGTTTGCTTCTGTTCGCCTTCGACTTAAAGGGTGTGAATCGCTGCCTATTTTTCAAAGTCAGAGCTGTTTTCAAGTGTACGAACATATTCGTTGCATTGCTGTTCTTCCCGTTGCACCGAGCCTTGTTGTTCGCCACCCACTGTTTGCCGAGACAGTATTTAATGCCTTCTTGTCTTTTGCTGAAACAGTGATTACCTGTTACGAGAAGCTGCAGCTTTCCAGTTTTCTGTCCTGTCATAATTCTTACTTTCGTTCGTTCAGACTGAAATTCTGTCAGCTATTAGTTCTTCAGTGTTTTCTACCGTGCTTTTCCAGTTTCTCCGAACTTGCACTATTTCATGCTATGCGATTGGCCTATTTTCAGCTTAAACAGCTACTGATTCGCCTACAGTTTTGGCTTAATCTTTTCAAGCTTGACAGTAGCTTTTGATGTTCTGCTGGGCAAAAAGTCGTATATAAATATTTATAACTTCAACGCATTTTCTTGTTCTGTTTCATTTTATTACCTAAAGTTTCTCTTTGCAGTTGGCTAGTGCATGTTGTTTGTTGTTTAATTATATGCTCCAGTTAAGACGATGTTTCCTTAGTTTATTTGAATACTATCATTTTTACGTTCTCTTTTTTATCATTTATCGTCGATCTGATAACCCTCGAGTCCCACCTTAATGCTTATCATTAATGGTATATGTTTTCACCTATTTCTATTGATTAGAATTGAAATCGAACGCGATCGCATTTTATACCTTGCGGAATTGCGGAAAATTAGAAATGTTGAGGTGGCAGAAAGCATCGTAAATGTCATCTCGTTTAAATTATTCACCTTAATTCCTTCTTTTGGTTATTTAGCCAAGCAAAAATTTTGTGACAGGGTCAATACTTCATGTTTAAGTTTTCCAGTCTTACGTAAACTACATTAAGTGATATTGCTGCTTACATCAATTTTTCATGATTATATACCCACCGTGACTGGCATCGCTTTTTAATAATCGCTATATAGTTAATCTTCGATGTGAGATATTCGTATCAGAAACTGACAAAGTATCTTTCTAAGCTCCACTGTCTAATAACATCTGCTAACGTGAGTTATTGCATTGCTCTTGAGACCAGATCGTACTGATCGTACCGTAGAATTTTATGCATATGCTTTCGAAATTAGGGGATAGGACAGGTGTTCAATATAGATTCCATATTTTAAGTAGGTATTTACCTTTGTGCACAAATAAATTTTCGGCTCAGACCAGTCTATGCTATTTGCTATATGATTTGAGCCTACCGAAAAGTTGCCATGACCATTTACAAGTATGAAGTACAGGTCGGAGGCTTGCTACCAATTCCGAGTCTCTGTTTCAGTCGATACAATCATGCTTTCGTCCATATTTAGATTAAACTTTTCAGGTGATTACTTACAGCAGCGAAATGAAAGGTAAAGCAGAGCCTATTTATACATGAGAATGGTGCTGGATTGAATGTTTGCCTTCTCAGCATTCGCGAGTCATAAACATTGCTATGTTGCAGAAAAACGATCACGTTATCATTTGTGTACTTCGATGCAGCCAACCATGAAACGGATAGCTTTAGTCATTGCCCTATGAGCAATACGAACAGCGTAGTGTTCAGCTGTTGTGTCAGTGCATGCTAGATCTACGGCCATTCTCTGTGGTGGGTGTAGTCTACAGTTACAAACTGACTGATAGGTAATTAAAGCAGCACAACGCGTAACCTGAAAATAAAATAAGAAACAAAATTAGTCGTTGTGGAAGTCATATTAGTCATTATTGATGGTTATCATATTAGTCATTAGTGAATTTCGAGTAGGACTTGAAACTGTACCAGATATTTTAGTCTTTTGAGTATCATAACAGGCTTGGTCATCCGAATGTTTGTGCGTTACCCTATCATCTAGCAAATTACTTAGCTTTTCTAGCAATCTTATCGCTATCACTGCTGCTTATATGATTAATCATTTTTATGAGCTCGAAACGGACAGTGTTTTAATACTTGAATTGATTTATAACGAATCTGATTCAGTTTTGCAATAATCAATTTCACATGGGTTTCACGTGTGTTAAGTAACAATGCAATAACCATGCATGTTCTTGCAACTGAATATCATCATTTAAACGGAAAAAGTTTTTGTGGTTACTTCGAATGCTTTATAGTTACTAAATGTATATTTACATTCCAATATTTATTATTTATTCTTGCGTAAGAAAAACACCTAGGTGGTCTTAGTTGCCCAAAACTTTGTCATCCATGCTACTATGACTAACTTTATGTTGCATAAGATATTTCATCTTTGATAATCATTGTAGTCCGTAAGTTTGATCGCCTGACCTGCAACTCGAACTGCAAACTTTCGTTTTGGACAGCTTCTGATATTTTCTTACCAAATTATGGCTTAAGACAGAAGTAAATGAAACCATATATTACGGGTTGGAATCGTTATTAATAGTTTCACGTTTATCGTGCCCATTAACCTCATTTGCTTAGTTTTCGTTATAATTCTGGTTTGTTACTCAAATCATAAGCTGAGAAGAAAGTATTTTTTGACTAAATGGGTACCTGAACTAGCAGATGACCAAGCGTTGCTTTATGATGCAGAAAGTTCATGTTAATTTTCAATTTTTTAGTGCTTTTTGCTTGCTTTGCGTTTACGTGGTTGCAGTGAAACATTAGCTGAAAAGTACATAGCGACTGTCCACTGTAGTGATAAACATGACTTGGATGAATTAATTAATCGATGTGCTCTAAGTCAGTCGATTATTATATACTGCTATAGCGAGTGAAATCGAACTTTCGGTAAATTTGTGTCGCAGCATGGAAAGTACCCACAGCACGTGCATATTTTGCTAACTTTTTTCGAAGATTTTTTCGATAATTTCTAGAGTGATCGAGATAATCAATTTTAACTGAACGCTAACTAGCTGATAAGTAAACATCCTTGAAATTGCGGTTGAAAGTATGAGGAGGTTTGCAAAAACACTCTTACTTTATTTCTGTCCAAATGATGACTGTTTTAAACAGCTTTCTGCAATATTCGATGGTTGAAAATTGAAATTCTTGCTTCAGTTAAGTTGTCCTTCATTTGCGTCAGATTTTATTTCATCTTACATTCAACTAATTATTTAAAGTGCCCCACGAATACAAGGCGACACTCCTCCAGGCTTGTGTGTTTTCTGACTCCACCGCTGACCATGTAATTTGACTATCGGGAACAATTTCGTTTCTGCGACTCCCTGATTTGCAAGTGTTATTCAAGCCTATGTAATGGTCTGTATGTATTTTCCGTCTGCATATGTTGTAATTTTTTCTTGAGCATTTCTTGGGTATCAGCCGTCATGAACTGCTCGTATCAACCTGCAACCAGTCCAAAGGATTCATAGATGTGGTGCACTTCGTGATAGTTTTGGTCACGAGCAGATGTTGCTGGCAAGAGACGGGTGGCTGAGGGGGAGAGGCTTCCGTACTACCGGATGAGGGGGGTACTACTCACGTCTCAAACTATTAGACGGAGCTCCAGTGCCAACTCCTGGCCAGAAGGTCTACATCGGATTTGCTGTTTTTGAATTAAGCAATATATCAGTTACAGTAGTTTCGAACTTTGGCTATCATGAGTTGGAAGACGCATTGATGTAAGTTTTATTTTTCTCGATCACATAACGATTCAGAAAGATTACCAGGGAATTCTTGAGCTAATAACTTCTCATAGTCGGGTCATCATGTTGAAAACTAAGAAATTTTTTTGAAGTATGAAATTATATCATCTGTGATAAAAATTTTTACTTTCGTGTCCTGCAGATAAGAATGGCCTAAGAGAAATATGTTATGTGTGATGTGTAGTATGTGTAGTTACGAGAAAAGAAACAGCTGAAGAGTAATAGTTAAAAAATACTGTCGTCTGTAGAATTTCTCAAATTTATGATAGCTGTTATTCCTGAAATAATTTAATAAAGTGATATTGAACTTTCCTGGCCATGACGCACACGTATGATTCATGACCACAAGTAGAATCATCTCTGCTAGACATTTCAGTGATTTGACAAAGAGTATTTGGCGAGAGGACGGAACTCTAAACTTCCAACAGATTTGTGTTCTGTTCATGATCATTTTACACACTATCTTATCTTTAACATCTAACAGTTTTTTTCTAACTAATCATTTCAGAATCTGCTCGTTTGTCATTTAAGAATGCTACTACGCTTTTGAATATTGTCGTAAACATTTTGTTAGCTACAGTATGTGACGTTTCAGAAGAAAGATTTTTAAGATATCTATTGGGATTGAAAAATGGATAATTTTGCAGTCTTCATATGAATTATCTCTCCACGCTTTACACTGTATCCTGGAATTTGCTGACGCATTCTAACATTAGAATTCTCTTTTACGCTACACCTACTCTCTTTAATTAAGGCTACCGTAAGATCTTGAAATGGTCCAGGAGTTGCAACTAAAGCGGTAGACGACACCATTTTAGAGGTGGTGATTGCTCTGTAACATTCGCCTTATTTCGATATCCATGTTCCTGCACTCCCACGGCTCTATTATATTTTGATTTATTTATTTTTTGTTGACAAATCTCCCTCAACAATATACCTGATATTTGACAGCGCTATAGATTCAACTGGTTATAAAAGGCGAGAAAAGGCGCTGCGAACACTATGATATAGAAACGTAATCACAGTATGGCTCTGAATGGAAACGACACAAACGTTTAAATAGACCGAACCATCTTTGCTACTGCGAAGAAGATGCGCTGGATTTCATATTTTAGAAGAGCCTATGAAATTTCATAACGATTGTGCTTGCAAGATTTATGTCAGAGTTATCTATGGCCGTACGTGTGTCTTTGACCAAAAATGTAACACTAATATCCAGTAAAGCAAGGCATTCCCTGTGACGAAAAATATGGCTTTTCCTGTTCCGTCCATAATTCACCATCATAAATCGTATGTCCTTGCAAGCGCAGTTCACAATCCAACT